GGCACACCGCACTAGTACTGGGTTGGACCTTGTTTGCTCCCAGAACTGCCTTAATTATTCATGGAAGAGATTCAACAAGGTCCTGAAAATATTTTTCAGAGATTTTGGTCCATGTTGACATGATAGCATCACACAGCTGCTGCAGATTTGTCAGCTACACATCCATGTTGCAAATCTCCCATTCCACCACATCCCAAAGGTGCCCTATTGGATTGAGCTCTGGTGACTGTGGAGGCCATTTGAGTACAGTAAACTTAGCTTATCAAAATTTTTGGCCCGAGTCCAACCCAAAGCCCGTCTTTTATTCAGCAACAGCTTGTACTGTTACAGCCTTTAAAATAGAACAGATTTGTTTTAAATAGAAAGTTTTTGTTTTTTCGTTTCATTTCTTTATCTGAATAATTTAGAAAAATGTTTGGAGTTTTTGTTTGTTTGTTTGTTTGTTTTAAATGTAAGTTTTCGTTTTTAAATGACATCGATATCAAAGCGGTACTGTATGTGGTCCACAATGTGTTTTCTCAATTCAACCTGCAAGTTGTGCATTGTGCATAACCAGTTGGCTCATCGTTTAAAGCTGTCACTATTTAAAGAGTTGACCAGTAGTTTGCCTTTACTCTAGCATTTTTTAAAGTTTTAAGTTCACCATTGGGGGGCGAGGCAGTGGCGCAGTAGGTGCTGTCCCCTCACAGCAAGAAGGACGCTGGGTCGCTGGTTTGAACCTCAGCTGAGTTGGCGTTTCTGTGTGAAGATTGCATGTTCTCCCTGCCTTCGCGTGGGTTTCCTCCGGGTGCTCTGGTTTCCCCCACAGTCCAAAGACATGTGCTACAGGTGAACTGGGTAGGCTAAATTGTCTGTAGTGTATGAGTGTGTGTGTGTGGATGTTTCCCAGAGATGGGTTGCGGCTGGAAGGGCATCCGCTATGTAAAAACTTGGATAAGTTGGTGGTTCATTCTGCTGTGGTGACCCTGGATTAATAAAGGGACTGAGCTGACAAGAAAAAGAATGAATGAATGAAGTTCACCATTGGCAATTATTCTCTTCATGTTTTCCATCGTACATGGCTGGAAATCTCTATGTGCAAGGCATCACTGGCGCTTCCGGACTACAAGCATAACTTTTTTTTTTTAAATGTTTTTTTTTCTAAAGCAGGTCCAAAGCCCAATATATGTGCTAGCTATGATGTGAAAATTGGCCCAAAGCCCAGCCCTAGGGGCATAAAAAGTCGGTCCCCAAAGTGCTCGGGCTTAAATGCAGGGCTCTACTTGTGATCAACCACTCTCACTGGCAGAGTGATGATAAAACAAAACGCTATTGGCTGTTTTTAAAAAAAAGGGAGGAACTACATTAGTATGTCCCACCCTCTCTTCGTGTTTCTGTTGAGATCACATCAAACATTAAATAAAAAAATACACATTTCAAAGCACTACACCGGGCCTTTAAAAAAAATCAGTAAGGGGCCATCCACACAGAATGTTTTCCATTTCAGTGCGCTACTTTTCCATTTTTTTTTTTTAAATTCAAACGAGTGGTTGATTGTGAACCATTGTGTATGAAATGTGCTATTTAAATAAACTTGCCTTGCCTTGCCTTGATGGGTGTTGGTCTTAAACTCACATATTGTAATTTTTTAGCAACAATAACAAAAAATGTCAAAACAACTTGGTTTGCCTTTGTCTTCTTTGCCGCTTCAAGTCATGGTGCCATTTATTACAGACCAGAGACAGAGGCAGGTATGTTTTGATGCTGGTATGCTGGTTTTGCTGGTCTCGATGCTTGTCTTGCTGGTCTCAATGCTGGGCAGCAAACGTATTGGTACCTCAGCAACATTGAGACCAGCAAACCCAGCATTGAATCCAGTAAGACCAGCATACCAGCATCAAAACAACATACCAGCATATGCTGTTTTTTTTTAGCAGGGGCGTAGTGTATTAGGGTGTGTGTGTGAATGTGAAAGTGTATGGGTGTTTCCCAGTGCTGGGTTGTGACTGGAAGGGCATCCGCTGCATAAAACATATGCTGGAATAGTTGGCGGTTCATTCCTCTGTGGCGACCTCTGATAAATCAGAGACTAAGCCAAAGGGAAATGAATGAATGAACTATTAAAACCTTTTGACCACTACTAGGGTGTGTACAAGTTCATTAACATTTCTTTTGGCTTTCTGTATATTATCATGAATCTTGGATGAGCAGTGTTTTACAGAAGGGTTGAAATGTGTGGTTTAAATGTGTCCGGGTTTCCTCTGACTTATGCTCAAACCCCATTCTGGACAAGTAAACACAGTTACCATAGTAATAAAACCACAGCTTCTATGGAAACAAACACACACGCGCGCAAACACACACACTGACGTTTGCCATGCATTGCAGAAACTCAGCAAATTGACCAAAGTCCAGAATCAAATGCTGATGTTGAGAATTCGATGTGATAAATAGTTACAATATACAGGGGAATTTCTGGTATCCAGGCTGATCTGTCAAATATAATCACATTAAATCTCGAGGAGGGACGCCCTGAATGGGGAACACCCTTTAAATGACTCATACATTCCATCATCTGAACTTGAAAACTGCAGACTGCCTCACCATACTGGGTTCATTTTGCACTTTTGTTATTCTAATACATGCACACTAGCAACAGTGTTTATCTTCTTTATGGTGTGCAGAAAAATATACTCTTAATCATGCACAGCGTTCGGACACGTTTCACACCCAGTAACATCTGCTTCCTTTTTAGAGCAGGATTCTACTAATTTGTTCCTCTGGGTTGCGGTACTTTCATTGCGAATTGTATGCATGTTTTATTATGTAAAAAAAAATTCATTCAACAGTCTGAAACCGGCAGATTTAGAACACCATTATGGCAAGCCGTTTTGACATTTAATCCATACTAGTATCTATTTTCAAGTTTTCCTTATTTTTAGACACTATTATCTTTTCCATCAAGTACTAGTGCTTATTCATTAGATAATAGTGCTTTACAAAACTCTACTAGTGCTTACTCATTATTAAATAAATACTAGTACTTATAAAATAGATTCAACAACTTATTAATACACGTTTATTAAATACTATTACTTGTTTAAATGTTACTCGTAAATATTTTTATTTTACTTGTAAAATATTTAATTGAACTCTAGTCTTCCATTTGGACTAGTCATAACATAAGACGAGTTAAAAAAACGAAACTGACTATAAAATAATAATTGTTACCAGTAATAGTTCTAAAAGATACTAGAGTTTAATAAATAAATACTAGTACTAATGGAAAAACAAATAGTATCTATTTAATAGTTACTAGTATCTGATGAATTGGTACCATCTAATAAGTACCAAATACCCAATAAATAAGTAGTACCTAAATAGATTCTATCTAATAATTAAGTACTAGTACCTAATGAATAAGTACTAAAATCTAATACATAATTACTAGTATCTATTAATTAGATACTAGCATCTAATTAATAAGTACTAGTACTAAATGATTAACTTCTAGTACAAAAAATATGGAATACATACTAGTCAAAACTGAATAGTTGATATCTTAATAACAGATCCAATAGAAGTCAATAGAAAAAAATGTTACTAACAACAGAATAGTTCACTATTAAAATAGTACTAGTATCTAATAAATAAGAACTATTATCTATTTAAAAAGTACTAGTACATAATGAATAAGTACTACCTATTAAATAGATAGTAGTTTTTAATGAATACGTACTAGTATCTAATGAATAAGTATTAGCATCTGTTAAAAAGAACTAGTGTCTAATGACTAGGCCCACACGGAATCTGCGTCCACAAAATTCTGCAGATTTCTGCAGATTGTTAGCCCATCATTGAATCTGTTTGTTTACTTGTGTAAATGTGTGTAAATTATATTTATTCAGTTTTAAATTAATTTCAGTAATGTTATGGACTAATATGAAAATGTTCATATGATTTATTTACAATATAGTTTGTAAAGTGTTATTTTCTGTCTTAGTAGGTATATTATATGATAGGCTTGCTTTGTTTACCAAATAAAGTGGATATAATTGGATTTGCATTGTAAACATTAAATAAAAGTTCAAAAGGTATTATATTATTTCATATAGTACGTTTTTAGTTACAATACTTGCAGAATAATTTCACATAAATCAGCAGATTTTTCACAAAATTCTGTGCAGGAATAGCAAAAAAAATGTCTGCAGATTCTGTCTGGCCCTACTAGTATCTACATAAATAATAAGCAGCACCATTATCTATTAAATATATACTAGGATCTTTTGATTGACTATATACTAGTCCCAACCGAAATACATAACAGTCAAAGCTGAATAGTTGATATCTCAATGACAGACCCCATAGAAATCAATAGAAAACTTTTAAATGTATTACTACAGAATGATTACTAGTCACTTTTAAAATAAGTACTGGTATCTCATAAATAAGAAGTATACTATAATGAATAAGTAGTAGTATCTAAAGAATATACAATCTAATCAATATCCAATACGTATCTATTTAATAGGTACTATTATCTAAATAATAAGTATGCAATAAAAAGAACTAGTGTCTAAGTAAGCACTTTATTTTATAAAGCACTAGTATCTATATGCACTAGAAATTAATGAATAAGTACTTAATGGAAAAGCTACTATCTAAACTAGTAATGAAATAGGCTATTACGGGTTAGATTAAATGTCAAAACAGCTTGCCATACTAGCTACCCCACAAAACACTGAAACACAAATACATTATATATTTTTCAGAAGCATCTATTACACAAACTAACATTACCAAAAAGTTGACCCCTATCGTTAACGGAATTCGCACACTAAGAACTAATGCTTGTGTTCAACTTCAAATATTGTCTACATATAACGTAAGGCTATATTAATATATATTTAAACACGCCAATACACTTGTCTACTAAACAGATAAAGTCGTTAGTCAGCCGGTTAGTGTGAATCATATCTTGTTGAGTGTTTAGCAGGGAGGAGATTCGGTGAAAGCACCGGCTGGTAACGCGTCACTGCAATGGGTGTGTCTTGATTTACATGAGTGAACCGTGTTCTCGTCAGATGTTCTGGCTATGAAGGGCTTTTTCGTCGTAGTTTTCCGCTTTTCATTTCACCTGCGGCTGGAATCTCAATATAGAGAAAGTCTTTAGCCGCGTAGGGATTTCTTGTTTAGTGGGATTTAGTGGGATTACCTCTGCGTTCAGTCCGTTAGTTTTGTTTCTGGTCGCTGTTTCTTATTTAGTTGTTGATAAGAGCTCTTTAAGCGAAGATGACAAGTGTGAGGACTTTGTTACTACTTTTCCTGTCATCTTTGCTGGTAACTATGGGGAAAGGTAAGCTGAATTTCCTTCACATTCGCTTCACTTACTGTTTTTAAAATGTTTTAAAATTGAAATGCATTTATTTATTTGAAGTGAATAAAGATACACAGACGATAATCGAGATCAATGAAAGAAACGTAATCATTTGAAAACAACATGTGTATCAAAACAGTAAAGCATGGTGAAAAGTATAGATGCAAGAACCTCTATGCCGTCTGAAAATTTTCTCTAAAGTTTGCGTTTTCTCAGCCTCATTTCATGTTCACTTGTTTCATATTAAAGGCAATGAAAATAATCTATTCTTTGCACTTAAGGTAAAATTAATGAAATTACACTCAACAGCCTGAGAAAAATGCTAATTATAAATGAAAATTTCAGAAGGCTCTTCACTTTCAGAGGTTTTTGCATATGAACTCTTTATATATTTAAAGTCCTGTTGTTTCATGAAAGTCAAGTGCTAAAATTTATTTACACCCCTTATAATAAAATAATATTCTAAAGGAGTGTGTGTGTGTGTGTATATATATATATATATATACCTCAGTGAGTATAAATGACTGATTAGTCGTATTAGTCGTTTATACTCACTGAGGTGTCATTTAAAACAAACAAATCAAACATTATTTATTTATTTATTTATTTGTTTTCTTCTTAACATCTTATTTATTCCATTAACATTTATTTTAATCAGAAGGATGAAGAAGGCATTGTGCCGAATCGTTTGTGTTTTTGTATCACCTGAAGAATGTCAAATAAAAACTGTATGAAGCAAGTATTTAATGACCTTCTGAATAATATTATTGACAAGATTAACACACCAATAAAGTTTTTAAAATCGTGAGTGCGCATGGCAAACTTCATTATCAACATTTATATTGACATCTGTAATGTCTTCCCTGTGTACTTACAATGTTCTTGCAGCATACAGTAATAATGCCTTTTCAAAACCAACTAACAAAATCAAACCATTGAGTTTGGTTACTTTTTGTTGCTAATGATCTGTCTTGTGTTTGTGGTTGATTTAGCGAAATGTTTGTTCCCTGTTTTGAATGGCAACCATGTCTTATCCTTGGAGTCCAGACTGAAAAACGAATTCCCCGATGGTTCAACCGCTGTGGCTGAGTGTGCAAGAGGATACGAGGCAAAGGATGGATCACCTTTAATCACTTGCCAGAATGGAAAATGGAGTAAAGTAGAATTAAAATGCGAAAGTAATTAATCTTTGACTTTGGAATCTGGCCGGTCCCTTTAAATGAAATGCTTTCCTGTAATGTACAGTATGTGTTGTAAACATTATGTTTGCATCCGTTTCAGAGATGGATTGTGGACCGCCAGAACCACAATCATCACATATGACATATTTAATCAACAATGGAACATTGTTTGGAGCCTATGTAAAAGCTTTATGTGACACTGGGTAAGAACTTGATGTCTATATCATCATTATCATCATAGTGAAGCAAATATAATTGACTTATACTTTCTTTACCCAGATATGACCTGGAAGGATCAAGCTACAGACAATGTCTTGTAACAGGCTGGAACGGACGTGCTACATGCACATGTGAGTCTTCAAGTTTGAATAAACACACATTCAATTAAATTCATGCTTATTTCTATAGTGCTTTTACTATGTAGATTGTGTCAAAGCAGCTTAACATACAAGTTCTTGTAAGCTGAAACCGTGTCAGTCCAGTTTTAAGAGTTAAGGTTCAGTTTAGTTCAGTTCAGTGTGGTTTAAATTTCACTGCTGAAAGTCCAAACACTGAAGAGCAAATCCATCAATGCACAGCTCCACAAGTCCCAACCAAGCAAGCCAGTGGCGACAGTGGCAAGGAAGCTTCACCAATTGACAAAGTGAAGGAAAAAAAACCTAGAGAGAAACCAGGCTCAGTGTTGTGTGTCAGTGAAATAATATTGAGAATAATAGTGACCGTCCACTTTTTAGCACTGATGGTTCTGGAGTTAATTTGCCCAGAGGTTTCTGTTTAATTGTTCCAAGTCATGAACCAAACAAACCAACTATGAGGAGAATCAAAACATTACAAACTTTGATTTTAAGCAAACATGTTTATACTGTATGAAAATCAAACAAAAAGGGTGTAAGACTGTGTATACTAAACAGATTTATTGACAGGAAGAACTATAATTAAGCATTCAGAATGACACAATTGAATTTAAAACAAAGTAATGTTAAATGTATAACATACATAACAGTGGATTTTGAGTGTGTTGCAAAATATGCATGCACAAATATGCAATTATGGCAGTATTTTTGTTGTGTTTCTTGTATTATCAGCTTAATTCTTTTAAATAGTTTATGTTATTGTAATTATTTCTCTATTGTTTTCATTTTAGTTTAAGTTTTAGTAATCGCATCATGTTTTTGTCTACTTTAAATATGGATATTTTTAAATTTAATATACTTTTGTTATTATTTTTGTTATTTAAATTCATTTTATTTTAAGTAATGGAAATTAATGTGTTTATTTGTTCGATTAATTGACTCTAAATTTGACCATCAATGTTGTTCAGGTCAGAGACATTATAATATATTTTGTTTCATCCTTTTTTTTATAGTGATAACATGTGATAATCCAACTCCTCCTGAACATGGCAATGTGATGTTTCGTAGTCCTGTTCTATATAATGATGTTATCAAATATTCATGCCAAGAAAACTACACCCTTGTTGGAAACAGATCCCTTACCTGTGGGGATGATTGGGATTATAATTTTCCACCTCCAAAATGTGAAGGTTAGTTTTTGGAATTTAAGTTTTTATCCAATTAAAACCTTTTTTGTTCTA